TACAGGGTGGGGGCAGCTTCTAAGCTATACCCCCAAGCCCTCGGCCTGAAATCCATCGGAAAGCAGGTGGGTAGTTCTCTAAATGAGGGACCTGGATCTTTTGCTTCTTTCAAAGGGGAAAAGGAGGGACCCTTAACGGGGACCCCTCCCTTTAATGGGGCTATATAATGGGTATATAATAGCTATATTAAGGGTATATACCTCGGGGTCCTTATTAAGGGTCCCTCCTTTTACCCTTGGATTCTAGCAAGCTAATGATGTGAAAGCCCTGTGCCGATTCCCCAACCCGGAACCCCTAAGCCTGGCTGGTGTTGAAGATTTTTTTTGATCTTTTTGCTCCTGTCACAGCATACTTTCAGGAAGGAACATGAAATACCCCAAACCCGAAACCCCGAAACCAAACAGTATTACCTGGCAGGCAGAAAAGGGGCGATGACAAATACCTCAATACTCCAAGCCTCAGCTCCACCACTTGTGCGCTCTTTGAGAGGACCTGCAAGCATGACCCAGAATCCCTGAACCCTTACACTCCGGGCCAGTCAGAATGTCTTGGCAAAACCGCGGAATGCAATATTTAAACCGGACAACTAGGGATTGCAATCCAGCAGCAAGAAGCTGCGAATCATGCGGCAGGGTTCACTCACAAGTTAAGCATTGCAGAAGTGAAAGAGACGGCTACTGTAGCTGCAACCATGGCAATACGTCAGCTTGTCGGGGTTTTCGAGTAGCTCTGAGTGTAGTCAACTTATTTATGGCTCTACTTACTTTGTCCTTTGACTCTTTCTAGTATTCCCCCAAAGGCTCTGGGCTTGCAGTTCGAGGATCAAATAATTAGGATTGAGTGAGGGTTGCTGGTTTGAGTTCGATGTTGAGGGCTTGATTTTTAGAATTCCAGGTGTAGGATTTGATTTGAAGCTCAGGGCTGGGGGTTAGGGTTTGCAGGCTTTATGGTCCAGGCTTTGGGGTCCAGACTTCGCATCCTAAGCGCTGGGTGGTTTTAGTTTTAGCGACTGCATTCGGGTTGGTTTAGTCGTGCTGGCAGACCCTTCATCAAAGTGGACATAAGGTTCAGGGTTTTGGGCCAGCCTTTAAAATGCTGTGAAGCCCGCCTCCTGCCTACTGGGGAGAGCACGGGGAGACAAGGCAGCCGCCCATGCCAGAGCCGCCTTTCCCATCGGGCGAGGACGAGGTCGTGGATTGCAAGGACGTTACAACTTACGCGCTCCAACAATGATCGTCATATGTAGCCCTACAAAGCAATGTTTTCGAAGGGCCGTACAGTGTAACTTACGCTGGAACCCACCCTCAACCATTTTTTAGATCAGGGTCTTTGGTTTAGGGTTGGGGTCTTTTGTTTTATGACTACATGCTTGCATTCCAGTGCTGCATCTGTCATCCGCGTGTCTTCAGCCATTACCAGCCTAATAGTTCCCTGCTTAAACAGGATTTGATCCCGGGCTTCATGTGGGTGGTTGTCAAAATTATGGTCCTTTTGCTTAGGGTACGCAAAAGGGGCCATAATGTTGACAACTACACATGTGTGTTTCAGACTGAAGGACTGGGTCCGAAAATCTTGCCATGACGTGGTTCCGGGTGTTGAGGATCTCTTACTTCGCCCCGGAGGGCATGCAGAAAGAACCCCCAAAACCTACACCCCTAAACCCTGCACCCTCCATGCAAAACCCAAGACCCCAAACCCTCCGAAACCCTGAAGCTCGAAAACACTTAAACCTTTCAGCACCGAAACCTAGGTCCCTGAGTAGTATCCTTTTGCCCTTGTTGTTTTGGGGCGAATAGTACTTGGAGGTTCATGGGACTTAGTAAGTACAGTTATAAGTACCTTAACTGGGGATATAACCAATTATAAGTATAGCTAAATTATGTATAACCCTGGTTACTAAGTACCACGAACCTCTAAGTAGGAAAAAGGGTACCCTTATTACAAGGGGGCTACTCAGGAACCCATGAAATTTCCACCTTGCAGCCTTGAATCCAATCGCTCAAGCCCAAAAACAGCGGTTAGGGTTCTTCAAGGGGTGGTTCTAGCAGGGTGGTACGAGGGTTCTATAAGGGTTTCTATAAGGGTTTAATGGACTACCGACATCAGCGAGCTCCATGCATGGAGCTTCCTATGGTGTTTGAGGAGCCCGCCGACTGGCCAATGGCGAAGGTTTGCCTGCCGAGATTGGAGACATCTTGTTACAAGTTGGCACATGCATGTATAGCCGCCAGCTATGCAGAAACTCCGAGATCGTGCCTCCCTAAACAAGGTCCTGAAGGAGCAGCTCACACGCCCAACAGGCGCATTCGCCTTACCCACAATGTCAACGAAGAGGAAGGGTACGTGAACGGCAACACAGCCCAAGTCAGCAAGCTGCTCCGCAAAGGCGTTTTCGTCCAGCATGGTTGACCGCAAACTTGCATTCTCGCTACCCCATCACCGTGAGAGGTCGCAAGTACCTCCCGGTTACCCACGGGTATGCCACGCCAATGCGCAGAAGAGCACAGGGAGCAACCCTCGAAGCGAGCGGCTTACTTTTCCATCGTCGCATGCCAGACAGAGGTACCTCTAGGGCGAAGGCGAGTGCCCTAAACACTACACTCAAAACTGACTATTCAAGATCAAGGCGTATTCGTCTCTCGCAAAAGAAAACCCAAGTGATGTGCTCGGGCCCTCAACCCTGAAACCCCATCAAGTCCAATAAAAACCGTCTGGGCCCCTTATAAAAAAACCCCCATTGCGCTCTTTAAGACTTGCTGGGTTGTGCTTTGGGATATTTTTTAATTTGCCTTATGTCCTTATAAAGGGAACCTATTCATAAATAATTTTAAAGGGCTTAAAGCCCAACCCAGCTTGCAGAGTCTTTATCGACCCTGTACAGAACCCTAAATGTTGAATCCTTAGCCTTAGGCTCCAATCTCTGGACCCGAACTCTGAACTCTGAACTCTAAACCCCAAGCCCTCACCCTAGGGCTCTAAGGACTCATATATTAAGGCTTTGAGCCCAAAGACCATACTAGATAAGGCTTTTGGGCTATTTTGACCCCCAGGGTCAGATCTAAACCCCAACCACGAATCCTCCAATCCCAAACAGAAGCCTTGAGCGGAGGCCGAGCTTCCCCCGATGCCGGCGCCGGGAGCCTCTCGTCTCAGATTTTCTTCGGTGAATTTGTTTAAAACACAAATGAAGAAATACAGTAGCTCTCTCTCTCTCTCTCTCCCTCTCTCTCTCTCGCTCTCTGTATCTCTCTCTGTCTCTCTATCTCTCTCTCCCTGTCAACCTACATCTGCATACATACATACATACATACATAAGTGCCTACGTACGTAGGTATGCATGCATGCACGCATGTATGTACGTATGTATGTTTTTCTATGTATGTATGTATGTATGTATGCATGTATGTATGTATGTATGTATGTGTGTATGTATGTATGTATGTATGTATGTATTTATGTATGTATGTATGTATGTCTGTCTGTATGTGCGCTTGTGTGTGTGTGTGTGTGTCTGTGTGGCCGCATCGGAGAGACACCGGAGTGCGGCCACTACAAGGCCCTAGTGCTCACAAACGACGTCATGTATGTCACGGATGATAATCTTCAGGCGATGCGATGCGAGTCTTCGGACATTGATGAGTGTATGAATAACGCCTACCTTTTCTTCTAGACTCGCTCGCCTGAACGTTGAGCACTGGCCTTGCTTTCTTTTGGGTGTACGCACCGGAGGCCTCGATCAGGATCGTGTCACGACAAACAGTGGCCGATCGGAGTTCCCTGGGAGGTGGCAACGCCACAGCTTGTGCCGGAGCAATTGCTCTGTCCCACAGACGCTCGCAGATGGACACCCTTTGCAGCGCGGAAGTGAAGTGAAGTATGTTTTTGTATGTATGTATGTATGTATGTGAAACTCGATATATATGTTGTATTCATATGACAAGTACACAAAGGTTACATGCGGGAAGATAGTGGCTGTAGTCATCATCGTCGTAGTAGTTTGATCAAAGGGGAAAAGGAGGGACCCTTAGTGGGGACCCCTACCCTATAGTGGGCTATATAATGGGTATATAATGGCATTATATTATGGGTATATACCTAGGGGTCCTTATTAAGGGTCCCTCTTCTTCACCTTGGATTTGAAGTGGGTTTGAACGTTTGGTTATGAGGGTGTCTCAGGCGATCCATGCGGCCTTGTGGCGATGCAGAGATCCAAGGGTAAGAGGAGGGACTGTTAATAAGGACCCCTAGACAAAAACCCTTATTATAGCTATTATATGCCCATTATGTACCCCATTATAGGGTAGGGGTCCCCATTAAGGGTCCCTCCTTTTACCCTTTGGAAGAGAGCTGTAATGTTCGGTTCGCATCGGCTTTCCGCACATTGGACTTGAGGTTTCGCGCATTTCTGCATCTTGTCGGGTTTCAGCAATCTGGGTTCAGGAAACTCGGATACAAGTATGAAAAGTTTCGAGCGAAGAGCATACATCGAGAGCACAAGACGGGACAAGAAGAGCAGTCAAGACATCCCTTTTTCAGATTCCAATAAGCCAAAAAACTTTGACAGCTCTGAAACCCGCAACATAGCGCGTGCCATGCTTCAGGGTTCTCTACTATAGATGCAGTATAGTATAGCACCCAAGCCCTACTATAATTTTCGAGGCTCCCACCCACAGCCCTGAACCCTACACCCTGAACCCTGAACCCTGAGCCCTCAACCCCAAGCCCTGAACCCTAAACCCCAAACCGAAACCCTAAAACCCCTAAGATGCCCACCAAGCCAACCCCTAAACCCACCCTGAGACTTCAAGCCCTAAACTCACCCCAAACCCGAAACCTTGACCCAAAGCCGGCCTTCTCGTTCATGTCTTCACAAACGGACATGGCTTGGGAACTGGTCTTCTAGAAGTTGCCGGTTTGGACATTTCCGTGCAGCTTGTTTTCCAAGCAAGACCTCTACAGCATCTCTAAGCTATCGAAGAAAGTACATCGTGCTTTGGACATGGCCCTCTTCCGCCCGGAAGCAGATCTCGAGACCTTCAACGCTGATCAAGAGCGAGTGCGGACATATGTTGCGGAAGCACCGCCCGGGTTGGCTGCCACACGGTATGCGATCGTCAGGGACTTCATCCTCAACAAGGTGATGACTGTTGTCTTTGCACCGTTGCGAAGGCGCAGGCAGTCCTTCCCAAGGATCGGAAGCGATGAGTTCAACGGCTTGTTGCAATGGGCTCGCGATCCAAGTGCGCCCTGGCTCAAAGTGCTTGATGTTTCGCACACCACCACCCACAGCTTGGTGGAAAGCGCGGTGGGAGCGATTGCACTGGCAATGGTTGCAGGCAAGACCTTGATCCTTGGAGCTGGGGACTCGCGTGTCGTCTACACCAAGATGGCCGATGAGGGTTTGAGGAAGGCGGTGTCCGAGCAAGCAGCAGTGAAAGGTTTGCCACACCAATCCGTTGACCCTGCGTACCATGCAGCTATCGCTGAGGCTGTTGAAGCGACCGCCCGATCTGAAGAGAACTTGTTGGCCACAGGCCACTTTCGCAAGCTTGACCTCGAAAGCATCCGCAGTCGCGGCTTCGATGAAGTGAATGCAGGAAGGCCCTTTACATCTTCACACCCCGTTGTGGCTCCGGTCATGCAGGCGCTGAAGGACTTCGATCACTTGGCGGCAGAGTTGGTCGTGTGCGAGGATTACACGGTCCCGCTTGATGACAGGGTTGAGTTGAAAGGAGTTCAAGCCATAGAACGGCTGGTCGTGAACCTGGAGAAGTATGTCACTGCTGTGGAGAAGGAGTTCTTAGCAAAGAAGGATCTTCTTTCAGCTGAGAGGGTCGCAAGGAATCAGAGCCTGATATCGCATGACGACTCATCACATCCAAACCAGACTTGAAATGCAGCGACAGGTTGGCCGACTTGCCGTCTGAGTGTGCAACCAAAGCACTCATCAGGGGTATGATCGGCCTTCCATACGAGGCGTCTCTCGACCAGCCTGCAGAAGCGCACTCTGGAGCACTAGTGGATGTGCTCGTCGAGCAATCTTTCCACGCCTTAACGGTGTTGGCTGGCGATTTCGCGCAACTAAAACAGGTTGCATCGGGCACCGAGCTCCGCATCTCAAGCACGTTCGTCTCAGCCCACTTCGGTTGGGCCGCTGACCATGTCCCTGCTTGCGCCGAAGCTCTTCGCAAAGCAACATCGGCGGATGCCACAGATGGTGATGTGGCCAATTAGGTGACCATGCTCGGTGGCAAGAACAATGGTCACTTGGCTGCACTCTCCGGCATGAGCAAATGGGGGGTGATCTATTTGGCAAAAAATACGACGGCTGAAAGGTGGTTTTCGTGAAAAACGCCAGCGTCTGAAAATCAATGGAATTCCCGTTCCATGGTCTAGAACACGTGAGGCATTTCAACAACATCTCGCGCAGTCACAATGGGCACCCTCCCTACTCTCTCCAGAAGAAGTTGATCTTTTAAGGAATAGTCCCCAAATCTACCCCCCAGATCACTCCGCCTTAGAGCCAATATCAATGGACGAGCTTCAGCAGGCCATTCGAGTACTCCGCCGAAACCGTGCACCAGGTACAGATGGAATTGCACAAGATTTATTGAAGATGCTTGATTACTCCGCCGAAAAGCAGCTCTTATCTCTCTTAAACCAATGTCTCAGAGAGCGTAAAATACCTAAGGATTGGAAACAGGCGCGCATAATGAGTATATTTAAAAACAAAGGATCCCCGTCCCTTCCCGAAAATTACAGACCAATCTCGTTACTAAACTCGTTTTATCAGGTTATGCGTCTATACTTCAAAAACGCATCGCCCTTAGGCATGACCACAACATTCGTAGTACACAATACAGGTTTCGAGCTCATCGTAGCACAACGGATCCCATATTCTTATTGCGTAGAGCGCAGGACTACTCCGCCAAGACGGGCCATCCCATACACATGTTGTTCTTGGATTGGAAGATGGCATTTGATAAAGTAGACCACTCCGCGATGCACATTGCACTACAAATGTTTGGCGTGCACCCACACTATTTAGAAATCATACAAGACATTTATACCAATCCGGTTTTTTGTGTCACGTCACCTACAGGCGACATTGTATGGGACACTGCCAATACAGGAATACGACAGGGGTGCCCACTTAGTCCGTACGTATTCGTTATTCTCATGTCGGTTCTGTTTACGGACGTAGACTCCAAACTCCGAATGATGGGTACTCCTACTAATACATGGTCAGTTGGCAAACCCATTTACGACGTAGAGTACGCTGACGAGACTCTTTTACTTGCGGTTACTCCGCCACAGCTCGCAGAATTATTACAAGCCGTTCAAGTAGAAGCCACACTATACAATCTTACGCTGAATTTTGATAAAACCGAGGTTCTGCAACACCCGAACACTCCGCCCATAGCTATACATTTCGCCGATGGCACACCTGTTACTACAGTTGACACAGTCAAGTACCTTGGCACCACAGTCAGTTGGACCCACACTACTAAGCAAGCTATTGAAGCACGAATGCAAAAAGCTCATTCTGCCTATATGAAGCTAATTACAACACTTGTGGAGAAGTAGAATTTGTCTGAAGTCCAAAATCCGCCTATATCATTCATTTGTTTTGCCAGTTCTTCTTTACTCCCTTCAAGAACTAACTTTGGAGGACAAGCACCTCCGCACGATTGACGGTTGGTATTTTCGGTATCTACGCAGGTGCATGGGTATTAAAGCGTCCTACTATTCCAGAATACCCAACCAACGAGTCTGGATCAATGCTGGACGCCCTACTTTACCCACACAAACCCTTCTCTCCCAGCAGCAATCCCGATTAGTCAAAAGTACGCTGGCTACTCCGCAAGATCCTTTACACCATGTCATTTTCAGCCCAGGATACAAAGACAGAATCAAAGTCTCGAAGTCCAAGAACAGAGGCCACCCACGACAGTATTGGTTCGATATAGTCTCCAAACAGGCGATTACATTTCCTAAAAGTTTTGACCATTCGGCTCGGACTCAGGATTTTCTTGGTGTAAAACACCTCATACATAAACACGAAAGCTTTCGCTCGCATCTGCTGGCTGCGCCGACGCGCAACGCTGAATCGTTTAAATTTCTTAGCAGAAGTGTGGGTGGCGCATGGCGGACTTAAAAAAAACCCTAAACCTCTAAACCCCTAAACCCCTAAGCCCTAAACCAAACCTAAACCGAACCCCCCCCCCCCCCCCCCCGCCCCGAACCCAGGAGCCTTACCTGATGGTCGCGGAGCGTGCAGACGTGTTGCAAGGCCCCGGGCCGTGGAATAAGGGCTATTATAGGGCTCCTAGGGTTCCTGTAAAGGGGTCCTTTTAAGGAGTCTTTAAAGGATTTAAAACGCGGAGAAGGGTGGGACGCCTTTTCTTAGAATTTCGGGGTTTAGGGTTTAGGGTTCAGCGGCGTTCCTTGGGTAGAGTTTAAAGGATTAGGTTTCGGGTTGGGTTTCGATCTGGGGTATAGCATATAGGGTTTAGGGCTTATTGTAGGTTTAGAGCTTTAGGGTTCTCGGTAAGAGTTCAGGGTTTGATAGATCGTTTTTGGAGTACCATGCTTCAAGATCTAGCCTCTGAGGTCGGGGGTTCAGAGAATATTTACGGTTTAGTGTGCTTTCGAGGATCTGTGTGTACATATATATATATATATACGTATATGCATATAAAAGGTATGTATGAGCGAGTATGTGAGTGAGTGTGTGTGTGTGTGTGTGTGTGTCTGTGGCTAAAACTTTGAAGGATTCAGGCCTCCGGAGTTTTGGTTTTGTTACCATGGTTCGAGGGATTCCGTTTGTTTGAGAGTTTTGTGGATTCTGGAGGGCCAAAAAGAGGACCCAGGGCCCCAGACATGCAGGGACTTTTTTTACTCTTGATCGCCCAGGGTTGAGAATGTTAGCTTGGGGGTTTGGGTTTGGGGTTCAGGCTTAACTTCATTTTTGGCGATCAGCAGGTTGGGCCTTGGGGTGTAACCTATCGGCTTAGAATTGCTAGCCGATTAGGACTAATCCAAAACCTTGCATGCTAAACCGCTTGCCAATGACCTGGACCCCGGCCCCTCAACCCGAACCCGAAGCCGTACAAACTATTTTCCGGCCCTTGGGAGAGGCATTCGTAACGCAAGCAGCTATGTGCAAGACCTTTCGCTCATCTAGAAAACTCGCAAAGAACCCAGGTATATCCATCGAAGTAGTAGGTTCCGATCCCATAGTCGTGAGGTAAAGCCCTCTCTCTCAGCCCTTCAGGCAAATCCCTGGCTCTGGGAACGTGCTTGAGACTCATCGGATGGGCCTTGGGCATCGAGAAGCCCCTCGGCGATTCAAGCTCCCTGGTGTTCCGAACTGTGCAACATAGTGCTCGGAATAATTAGCAAGCGCATCCTCTTATCGTCGTCTGACTTTTCTTGTTTCCGTTGTGACCACGCTGCGTGAGAATTCCGTTTGCTTTTCTGCCCCAAGCTCGGCAACCTAAGTCCTAAGCCGTCTCTGGGGCACAAATATCGAGTTGTGAAGAAAGTGCTACTGCTGTTCGTACTTGGTGCTTCTCTGACGGTGTTGCTGGTCTTGAGGTTACTTACCTTTGGTTAGTAGGGAATGGAGGAATGGGGTACACGGGTACACTTGTAGCTAGTATTACTACCATTCTTCCAGGACCTCGATTCAAAGCACTCCCTGACGTGTGTTGGTCGTCTTGGTTGTCGCCTGCATCGTCGTCGTAGTCGTCGATGTCGCCTTCAGACTGTCCCCAGAGATCCTAATACCCCTTAATTAAGGAATATACCTCAGATCATACAGTAATATTAAGGCCCCTATTATTTAAGGTATATTCCTTAATTGAGATGTATTGGGTTCTCTGGGTCATTGGATAGTGAACTGGTAAAGGTATTTGGTAGCGGGGTGGTGATGGCGTTGGTAATAGTACAGTAGCAGTTCTTGCCCAACAAGCAATAACCGACACCGATCTCCACCAAGTTGGTTGAAAGTCACCGCAACCGCTGCAACACCATCAACTACAGCACTGGTAGCCTCAACTGGCAGCATTCGCAACCACTAGGAAGCATTGAAAGCAACTGTCATTTACAACAGCGACGGCTGCAACGACGGTGGCAGCAGAAGCAAGTACAACACGCAAGACTAGACCGCCTTCTACTACTCCCGCTCGTCTCCACTACCAAGCACTACTATCGCAAGTACTCTTTCTGCTACTGCTGCTGCCGCTGCGGAGCTCCTTCTTCTGCTTCGGAATAGATCCAACCGCAACTTCACGTCTTGTCACCTCAAGGTCCTCAATCTAGCAAGGGAGAGTTTCCGAAAATTAGGGGTATCTTCATTTTGGGATCCTTATAATAAGGATCCTACTATTCAGGGTAATTACTGTATTAGGATCCCCTTTTTCCGGAAAACCCCCCAAGTGTGCACCGGTCTAACATCGCACCTCATGCAATGCCAGGAACATCTCTCTCATCCAAGAGCAGGCCAACATCTTGAAGTCTTTTGTGGGTTTAGGGTTTAGGGTTTAGGGTTAAGGGGTTTAGGGTTTATGGGTTTGGGGTTTAGGGTTTAGGGTTTGTGCCCTCGGTTGCCTTCGGTGCTACACCCTAGGCCAAGCTTCAGTCCCCTCAGCAGGAGTTGGGCGTTAGGGGCTCTGGGTTTAGGGGTTTAGGGCTTTAGGGGTCTTTGGGACTGTCGGTGTTTGGGGCTTATGCTTAAGATTACCTCCTGTCCTTCCCGCATCCCCTACCCTAAACCCTAAACCCGTCAGAGAGGCTCGATAAACACAGCTTTACTTTCCTCTAGCTCAACGATCTTTATGTACACATTCGTCCACGCACGTACGGCCAAACAGACACACACACACACACATGCACATGCACATCCATCCATCCATTCATCCATCCATGCATACATACATAACTGTAGACACGTCTATGCATGCAACTATCTGTCTATCTATCCGTCTATCTGTCTGTCTGTCTGTCTATCTATCTGTTTCTATGTATCTATCTATCTACCTATCTGTGCGTCTACTGTCTGTCTTTATTACGAGCACATATGTACAGGACCTTACGTACTTTCAGCAGGCCTTTACAGAAAGCCCTGAGCTCCAAGCGCGTGAAAGGCCAAAGCCCTCGAGGAGGCCAAGAAGGTCCTCGAGGTGCGGGGCGCGACTTTTGTTTTAGAGGTTCAGGGTTTAGGGTCTAGA